ATCTGAGCACAACAACTACCAGCAGCAATGTACTCTGCTTCTGCTGTTGATGTAGAAATGGAGTTTTGTTTCTTACTGAACCAAGAAACAAGATTTCCACCAATGAATTGACAAGTACCAGATGTACTTTTCCGGTCAACTTTGCATCCGGCAAAGTCAGAATCTGAGTATCCCACTAACTCAAATGAATTGCTCTTAGCATACCATAAACCCATGTTTTGAGTTCCTTTGAGGTATCTAAGAATCCTTTTAGCTGCTATCAGATGACTTTCCTTTGGCTTTGACTGGAATCTGGCACAAACACCTACTGCATATGAGATATCCGGACGGCTTGCAGTAAGGTAGAGTAGTGATCCAACAATTCCTGTAGAGAGTTTGATCAACATCCTTTCCATCTACATCCATATCAAGCTTGGTGGATGTACTCATGGCGACAGAAACGGATGACTTTTGATCAACTTTGAATTTCTTGATAAGATCCCTTGTGTACTTGGCTTGGTTGATGAGAGTTCCTTCGCTTCTTTGTTTGATTTGAAGGCCAAGGAAGTAGTTGAGTTCCCCCATCATGCTCATCTCAAATTTTCCTTACATGAGGGTGGAGAACTTCGTGCAGAGATCTTCCTTAGTTGAGCCAAATATAATGTTGTCCACATAGATTTGGACCAATAAGAGATCTTCTCCATCTTGTAGTTTGAACAATGTCTTGTCAATGACTCCTTTGGTAAATCCATTGTGTATAAGAAATTGAGACAATGTATCATACCAAGCTCTTGGTGCTTGTTTGAGTCCATACAGCGCCTTTTTGAGTCTGTACACTTGATCTCCCTTAGTGTGTAACTCAAATCCTGGAGGTTGTTCTAAATAAACTTCTTCCTCGAGGTTTCCGTTGAGAAATGCGCTTTTGACATCCATTTGATAGACTTTGAAATCTTTATGAGCAGCAAAGGCTAGAAACAGCCTTGTAGCTTCAAGTCTAGCAACTGGAGTGAAGGTTTCATCAAAATCTATACCTTCTTCTTGACAATATCCTTTGGCAACCAACCGGGCTTTGTTTCTGAAAACAATGCCGTTTTCATCCATCTTGTTCCGGAAGACCCACTTTGTCCCAATGACATGTTGATGAGTAGGTCTGGGAACAAGTTTCCAGACGTCATTTCTGGAGAATTGGTTGAGTTCTTCTTGCATTGCATTGATCCAATCAGAATCAGCTAGAGCTTCTTCAATATTCTTTGGTTCCACTTGTGAGATGAAACAAGCAAGCATGGCTTCTAGATTCTGTTGGGCACTCCTTGTGCGAACGCCAGATTGAATATCTCCAATGACTTGTTGAGGAGGATGATCTCTTAACCAATGAAGATTGTGTTGATTGGGATTGACTGGTTGATCTAGTTCAGCTTCTGGTTGAAGAACTGAAGTTGGTGTTTCCGGATGGATTGGCACTGGGTCGCCATTTCCGGAATTGTCACCGTTTGAGTGATCCGGAATACTGGAAGGCTGGCCAAGATTTCCGGAAGGCTAAGCACTGTCTGAATCCGGATTTCTCTGTGAAGTCTTCAATGGTAGACTTCTGAATGGAATAAACTCCGTAGGCTTCATTCTATCTCCTTCATTGACTTCTTCATCCTTGTCTGAGAGATCCAGAACCTCATGATCATGTTTTGATGGCTTGTCAACCACATGTTTTTCATCAAAAATAACATGTATTGACTCTTCAGTGATCATGGTTCTTTTGTTGAAGACTCTGAATGCTTTGCTCACCGTAGAGTATCCAAGGAAGATGGCCTCATCTGATTTCTCATCAAAAGTGTTCAGATAATTCTTCCCGTTGTTTAACACAAAGCACTTGCTCCCAAAAATATGGAAATATGATATATTAGGCTTTCTCCCGTTCCATAATTCATAGGGAGTTTTGTTGTGCCTTTTATAAATCATACTCCTATTTTGAGTATAGCAAGCTGTGTTAACAGCTTCAGCCCAGAACCTCTTGGGTAAGGAAGCTTCTGCTAGCATGGTCCTTACTACTTCCTTCAAGGTTCTGTTCCTTCTTTCAGCTACACCATTCTGTTGAGGCGTCCTTGCTGCGGATGTCTGATGAAGAATTCCGTTTTCTTCACAGTAGTCAATGATGATTTCATTCAGGAATTCTGTGCCTTTGTCAGATCTGATCTTCTGAATGGTCTGACTTGCTTGATTTTGAATCAGCTTCATGCAGTTGGTTAGTTTCCCCTGAGTTTCCTTCTTGCTGTTGAGGAAGATTGTCCATGTGTATCTTGAGTAATCATCAACTACCACCATGACATATTTCATTCCACTTAGACTTATTGGTGTGACAGGACCAAATAAGTCCATGTGAATAAGACTTAATATCCTTGTAGTTGAGGGTGCCGGTTTTGCCTTGAAAGTAGACTTGACTTGCTTTCCTTTTTGACAAGCATCACAAATGCTTTCCTTCCTGAATACAGCTTTGGGAAGACCTTCTACTAACCCTTCTTTGGATAGCTTGTTGAGGGTTTTGAAGTTGAGATGACTCAACCTCTTATGCCAAAGCCATAGAAGGTTAGTGTCACTTTTGCTAATTAGGCATGCTTCCCTGACATCGTCCCACATCACTTCATAGATGTTCCTGATTCTCTTCCCAGTGAGAATGACTTCATTTGTGGAGATGTTCTTGAGGGATGCCATGTCCTTGCAGAATTCCAAGGAGTAACCTTTATCACAAAACTGACTTATGCTAAGAAGGTTATAATTGAGACCTTCAACATAAGATACAGCTTGGATGGTTAGTCCCTTGTACACCAGATTTCCTAGCCCTTTAGTAAGGCCAAAATCATTACTTCTTCCAAAAGTAACTCTTGGACCATCATAGGGAATTAGATTGCTCAAAAGGCTCGCATCACCCATCATGTGTCTTGAACAGCCACTGTCTAAGTACCAGACACCTAGGTACTTAGCGGCTTTCTGCATTAGGAGGAGGAAGATTTTGGTACCCAATTCAGTTTGGGTCCAGTATAGTTAATGGTGTGTGTCCCTACATCAAGTTTGAAGTTGCAGGGAATTTTCCTTGCAGCCCTAAACTTGTCGGGATTGTAATCATAGTTGTAGGCATAAAACTTCCTACGTGCAGGAGGTGCAATTTCCTGTTCCCTCCTAGCAAACCTAGGTTGATAAGACCTATAGTTTTGTCTAGGTTGTGCATAGTGTGTCCTGTGATGGTTATAAACATACTTAGGTGGCACAAACATTTTCTGGGGTGGAGGATGACTATATCTTGGCATAGCTCTCCACTCAGAATTTCTTGGAAAACTCCTATCTACCCCATAGTGAGTATAGCCTCGTGTATAGTGGGGGTTAGAAGGTTTTCTTCTGAAATTGTTTCCTTTTTGAGGTCTGTCCAGCTTCCTATAGTTCTTAGGAGGGACTACCTTTTTGGGAACTTCTATTGGTTTCTCCATTTCCTTTCCTTTCTGCTTATTTGGTTTGGCAGTAGGTTTAGGAGGGATGAAAGTTATTCTCCCTTTCCTTTTGGAACTGGAGGGGTCAAACCCAAGTCCTTCACGACCCTTATGTTTGGTCGTTTCAAGAAGCTTATTCACTGCTTCTTTGGACTTAAGTATCCCTAGCTCCTTGTTGAGGGATTTCACCTTTTCAGAGAGAGATTCATTTTCAGCTTTAAGTTGAGTGATCTCATCCAGTTGACTTTTCCGACCTTCAGTTAACTCTAGATTCTCTTCACTTAATAACTTGTTCTCTTCTGTTAAGGATGAGTGTTTGAGATTTATCTCCTCAAAATCTTCCATCATCTTTTTGAACTGGTCAAAAAGATTTTCAGAAATAGGTATGTTTTCATAAGAAGATGCGCAGGAGGTTTGTGAGGTTACCTCTTGATCAGCATCATCTTTGGCCATTAGGCAGAGAGTGTCATCTTCTGACATAGTCCACCTATCTTCATGGTTGGACTTCTCAGCTCTGCGCTCCATGCAAACGAGGGCTTCTTCATCCGAGCTTGAGCTGGATGACTCGTCACTTTCAGCAGCAACCATTGCCTTCTTTTTCTTCTCGTTTCTTTCTCTTTCTCCGTACTTCTCCACCTTTGGGTACGGGCATGCTGACTTCCAGTGTCCAGGCTTCCTATAGTTATAACATAAATAGGATTCAGGAGGAGAGTCACTCACCTGTGGCTTTCCCTTGGATGGCCTTCTGATTGAGTCTGCCTTCTTGAAGAACTTCTTGAACTTCCGGAATTGCGTGCTTGACCATCATGGCAAATTCCTCATCGTAGTTCTCCATTTTTGAGCTTGACGGCTGGCTGGAGGAAGGTGTGTCACAATTTCTTGTGCATGTCCCTTCACTTGATGGGACTCTTGGAGTTGTCATCAATGCCGTGGGGAAGGGAGTGACTTGTTCTTCCTTCTTCTTCTTCAGCTCGTGCTCATAGGTTCTGAGCTCATCAAGGAGACCTTGGACAGTGTAGTTCTCCAGGTTTCTTCCTTCTTCCATGGCTGTGGCTTTGGTGTACCACTCAGTTGGAAGTGATCTCAGCAACCTGACATTCTTTTCTTTGGGAGAAAGAATGTGGTTAAGTGAAGCAAGATCATTCAATATCTTGTGGAATCTTTCATCCAACATATCAAATGATTCTCCGGGAAGCATTTTGAAGCTTTTGAACTTCTCAAGCAGGACTTCTATCTTCTACTTTCTCAGGTCCTCTTATCCCTCACATAGCTTCCCAAGACCTTGCCAAATCTCCATGGCAGTCTTGAGATGCTTAATCTTGGAGAAGGTGATGGGATCAAGTGTCTTGAAGATGGCTGTTAGATCTGGGCCTGACCCTATCATACCCTCCCCCATGTCCCACACCCTTGCAGAGACCAAAGGATGCACGTTCAAACATTATGATCCATTTTAGTGCGAATTCCGAGTCCTTCAACCCGAGCGGCCAGAATAACTTTGGGCCAAAGGTTTCCTCAAACCGACTCCCACTCCGTCCAACCCAACCCTAAATATCCAAATCCCCTTTCCATTTAATTCATGTCAAAATAAAGTTGTTATTACTCTTATTTTAGCCCCTGGCCGAAAATAAGAGTGTGTAAACCAAAACCTTTTGTTTGTTGTTATTTTCCTTCTTTTAAGCCTTTTAATAAACAAATAAAACCTTCTCTCCCTTCCTCTAAATCCCTGGCCAAATATCCCTCACAATCCCAACACAACATCAACAAAGAGCCAAAAACCATGACCCACACCCAGCCATATATCCTGCCCATGTTCCCTTGCAAATAACCCAAAACCATAGCTCCAAAACACCCATAAATAATACCCAGCTCTGTCCCCTTTTATTGGCCAAAACATCCCCCCATTTCTACCCAAATAATAGCCTTAAAACCCAGGGAACAACCACTAGGAACCAAAACACAAACCCCCACAACCCCAGCCCCATCCCTGATTTTATTCCACTAAGGAGACATGAAGGAATGACCAATGCCCCATGCTTGGAGAGAGGAAGTTGCTAGGAAGCTTCCTCATGTTCACATTCAATGTATTGAGTATTTTCCCCTTCCCCTCTCCCTATATAATCAGGCCTTATTGCCATTGTAAAAAACAACCCTTTGAATATTTAAATCTTTTACTCTTTGAGTATTATTAAAATAGTGTGATGCTATTTTAGCCAAATTCCTAATTCTATATCTTAAGAGTGGTTATCTTAAGTGTAAGTTTTAGGTTCTAGATATTTGATTAAGTGTGTCATATCTTAATTAAATTCTAGATTCAAACCCCAAGTTAGGATAAGAGTGTGTAATATCTCTTAAACACCAACTTGGTTTATCCAACCTTGATTTTCTTCCATTTCATACCTCCTCATTTCTCCTCTTAATCTTACTCTTTTCTTCCATTAAAAATACCCAAAAGAACTCCTTCATCATCCCCATATATTTTCAGTCCATTCCCCCACAAAACACCCTTCTTCCTGCCCAGAAAACTGTCAAATAATCGATTATTGCTACTGGAAGTCGATTATCTATCCCTCGTGAAACATCTGCAGCCTTCAATAGTCGATTATCACTTTCAGACAATCGATTATCAGCCTTTCCCAGAAACCTGCACTTCTCAATAATCGATTCACATCTTCTGTAAATCAATTATCCCCCCCTCCCAGAACATCCCCAGAAAACTGCCCAAGAACCTGAAGCCCTTAACAATCGATTATCCACTCAGAACAATCAATTATCTCCCCTTCCCTGCAAATAAAGAGGTTTTAACTATAAAACCCGGAGCGTAGATATAACATTTGGTATCAGAGCTTTGTGTTGAACATCCCTAAGGGATCATCTTTACACGCCTCCTTTGTTACTATCAACCATGCATTCTTCAAGCCATTTATCCACCATGCCAAGCTCTCCTCAAAACATGTTTCAAGGTGAATTAGCTGCTGCCCAGGAGAAACTAAAGAAGGAAGTTGAGCTTATGATGAAATAAATCAAGGAGCTCACTAATTCAGTAGAGATTCCCACATTTGAGGGAAGGAACGACCCGAAGAAGTTCTCAAAATGGTTAGCAAAAGTTGAAGACGTCTTTACACTCAAAGACGTACCCGAAGACAAGAAGGTCAAGCTAGTGGTGGCAAAGTTTCAAAGACATGCCTCTACTTGGTGGGCTAGCGTTGCCTCAAAACGAAAGCTCCAAGGAAAAGCGAAGGTGAGAACTTGGGAAAAGTTAAGAAAACTCTTAATTAAGAGATTTTCTTCCAAAGATCATCTCCACCAGGTACTTGAACATACTCTCCCTTTTTCACCCAATACTCTTTCTAAAGTCATACCACCTTCCCCACAACAAAAGCCGCTCCATATTGCCCTCTCTCCCACAACCTTAACCTCCTCTAAACCTCGATCCTCACAGAACTCTCATGAAACCCAAATCATTCCTGAAGCCCCCACCATCTTCAACACTCAAACTCCCTCTAAAGTTCCCTCTTCACCTTGCATCCATGCTGTCCAAAACATCTCTCACCCAACTCCCTCACACTTAACCAAAATTCCTACTCAAACAACCCCTTTACCTTCCTTAACCACTGCCCAAACTAACCCAACACCCCTTACCACAACCCTGCCCCAAAATACCTCAAACCCCTTTTTTGTTTCATCCCTGGCCACTTTCCAAACAAGCCCCAAAACCCTCCTCATACCCCTGCCTCCAAACTTGCCTACAACCATGCCTATAATTCCCCCTCAAACGGCCGTAACCATTCCCACACCTACCCCTACAACCCCACTTCAAAAACCAACTGAAACCATCCCTTTACCCTCCCAAAACACTGTCCAGATCACCCTCAAAGCCTCTCCCATCCCCACAGTTCAGAACCCTGTTAAAACCATAGGCCATCCACCAAAAGCCATGGACATACCCCCACCAAAAATCTGCCCATCTATTCCCAAGAATTCCCATTGCTTCCATCATATTGGTCATTATGCTATTCAATGTCCCAATAAGAATCTTAAGTCCTTGGTTGAAAAAGAAGAAAAATCAGAATCTTTGGGACTTAAGGAAGCACAAGAAGATGTTAAATCTCTAGGCCAAGATAAAGGTGAACTTGTGGTCATTACAAGGCCATTGAGTAGTTTGGCTGATCAAAATAAACTTGGGATCAAATCCCTCTTGAAATCATGTTCCATTGAATGGCTCAACCACGGGAGAGAACTACGAGTGGAATTGCGTAGTTTTTCTTTATTTCATATTGACAGGCCATGGACACCTAATTTTGCGGATAAACATTCCTTGAGAAAAGGTTCGCCGGCATGCTTATTCTTACCCCTGACCACACCTAACCAAGGGATAGAACCCCGGGTTCATCTAAGTTCAGGTGAAAACAAACCCAATGGCGATTTAGGGAAGAAGGATGTTATTGCCACCAGAGATGAGTTCTTAAGCAGTGGATTTCCTGGCTTAAAAATGCAAGTTAATGAGAAGAAGGTTCAACATAGAGCTATGAGCCAAGATGTGGAAGCCTCACCTCAAAGGCTATCTTCACTAACGGCACCTCGTGCCAAATTCGTTAAGTTTTTGCAGGTTCCATGTGAAGGAGAAACTTCCGAGTTTTATCATCAGACTCGTGAACAGCTTATGAAGAGAAGGAAGTTGAAAAGTTCAATCCACTTTCAGCCCGGAGACCTAGTGTGGGTCCATATTCAAAGAGAGCGTTTTTCTGAGAAAAGCAAATCAAGGCGGGAATTCCGAGACGATGGCCCATTCGAAGTGCTAGCCCGAGTCAACAACAATTCCTACATGGTTGGCCTTGCAAGAGATCAAAGAGTTGCTACCACATTTCACCGAAGAGATCATAGCCCGTATGAGGATTCTGAAGATCTTCCGAGTTTGAGGACAAACTCTTTTGAAGACCAGGAGGATGTTATATCTGGGCCTGGCCCTATCATACCCTCCCCCATGTCCCACACCCTTGCAGAGACCAAAGGATGCACGTTCAAACATTATGATCCATTTTAGTGCGAATTCCGAGTCCTTCAACCCGAGCGGCCAGAATAACTTTGGGCCAAAGGTTTCCTCAAACCGACTCCCACTCCGTCCAACCCAACCCTAAATATCCAAATCCCCTTTCCATTTAATTCATGTCAAAATAAAGTTGTTATTACTCTTATTTTAGCCCCTGGCCGAAAATAAGAGTGTGTAAACCAAAACCTTTTGTTTGTTGTTATTTTCCTTCTTTTAAGCCTTTTAATAAACAAATAAAACCTTCTCTCCCTTCCTCTAAATCCCTGGCCAAATATCCCTCACAATCCCAACACAACATCAACAAAGAGCCAAAAACCATGACCCACACCCAGCCATATATCCTGCCCATGTTCCCTTGCAAATAACCCAAAACCATAGCTCCAAAACACCCATAAATAATACCCAGCTCTGTCCCCTTTTATTGGCCAAAACATCCCCCCATTTCTACCCAAATTATAGCCTTAAAACCCAGGGAACAACCACTAGGAACCAAAACACAAACCCCCACAACCCCAGCCCCATCCCTGATTTTATTCCACTAAGGAGGCATGAAGGAATGGCCAATGCCCCATGCTTGGAGAGAGGAAGTTGCTAGGAAGCTTCCTCATGTTCACATTCAATGTATTGAGTATTTTCCCCTTCCCCTCTCCCTATATAATCAGGCCTTATTGCCATTGTAAAAAACAACCCTTTGAATATTAAAATCTTTTACTCTTTGAGTATTATTAAAATAGTGTGATGCTATTTTAGCCAAATTCCTAATTCTATATCTTAAGAGTGGTTATCTTAAGTGTGAGTTTTAGGTTCTAGATATTTGATTAAGTGTGTCATATCTTAATTAAATTTTAGATTCAAACCCTAAGTTAGGATAAGAGTGTGTAATATCTCTTAAACACCAACTTGGTTTATCCAACCTTGATTTTCTTCCATTTCATACCTCCTCATTTCTCCTCTTAATCTTACTCTTTTCTTCCATTAAAAATACCCAAAAGAACTCCTTCATCATCCCCATATATTTTCAGTCCATTCCCCCACAAAAAACCCTTCTTCCTGCCCAGAAAACTGTCAAATAATCGATTATTGCTACTGGAAGTCAATTATCTATCCCTCATGAAACATCTGCAGCCTTCAATAGTCGATTATCATTTTCAGATAATCGATTATCAGCCTTTCCCAGAAACCTGCACTTCTCAATAATCGATTCACATCTTCTGTAAATCGATTATCCCCCCCTCCCAGAACATCCCCAGAAAACTGCCCAAGAACCTGAAGCCCTTAACAATCGATTATCCACTCAGAACAATCGATTATCTCCCCTTCCCTGCAAATAAAGAGGTTTTAACTATAAAACCCGGAGCGTAGATATAACAATGGCTGCTTTGGCGACGTTGTCCAAATTGTGCTTTTTGCAATCTCTATCATCCCATTTTTCCTTGGGCTTTGGAATGTACAGGACTACATCTGGAGCAGCTGGATTCCTCTCAGGATTCTCCATTTGGATTTTCAAGGGTCCATCCTCAAGCACCATCCACATGCAATCATGTAGAGCGTAGAGGTGTGCTTCCATCATGATCTTCCAATCATCGTAAAACTTGGGCAAACCGTGATCCATATTGTTCACCATTATGATCGCTTCTCGTTAATCTAGATGTAGATAGTGAGAAGTTTGCTCTGATACCAATTGGTGGTCCCAAAGTGGTGAGATACAAAGTGTAGAGGAGGGGGGGGTGAATAGACTTTGTTATAAATTTAAAACTTTTTCGTTTCTTTTGAAAACGTGAAAATGAGTGTTAATCTAGAGTTCTTGTGAACTTTAGATTGTGTGCGGAATTTGGTGGGTAGAGTGAGAAGTAATCAATATGGATGGGTTAGTTTTCACAGTTAATATAATTGCAAGTAAGAATAAAGATAAAAGTGAGAGACACGCAAACTCTAACGAGGTTCGAAGGTGGGGTAATCCTTCTACGTCCTCAAAATCCACTATGTAGTTGGTTGTTGAATAATGAACCAACAATTACACTTGTGTGAATTTCTGCACGGTATATCTTCGCAAGGCCAATGTTGCTACTGCACTCGTGCTGGCTTTTGTTGTTCCTTCGAAGGTCACGCTTCTTCAACAACTGCAAGGTCCGAACAATAGGACTTGCAAGATCAACTTGTAAGAAAGTTGACCTACCCGCTTTTAATCAATAAGTTTGATCAAAAGTTGTATCCTTCAACGTGGTGTGTTACTTGAGGCAAGGAAACCTTTAAGTGTTTTCACTATAGCTCTTTGGAAGGAGGAGAAGTTTGCTTCTGGATAAGGAGTTTAGAAATATCTCTTTAACAAGCTTTTTGGGCTAACTGTGAATGAGATAGCTTTGTTGTTAGAGATTGCTTTGTTGTTCATTCATATTCATGTCTTCTCCAGTCTTCCAAGGGTGCTATTTATAGCTGGATTGGATAATCTATCCGTTGAATCATAAAGACTATCCGTTGCATTTGCTGGCTTCAATTTTGAATGAAGATTGTGATTTGAAGATTCCTCATTGGAATGGGTGTTTGGACATACCCAATTGTTTGAGGAGGGATTCCTTTTTCCACAGATTCCGTCTTCTAGCTGTTGTTCAAGAATTCTGGACTGTAGCACTTTACTCTGTTTGTCTTCTAGTGCTTGTTTAGGAATTCTGGACAGGCTCTTCAACTTTTAGAGGTCCAGACTTTGTCTTCGAGTCATTTGTTCTTGAATCAGCATAATTATCTTCAATCTAGCCGTTGAAAATCAAGAGATTGATTTTTCCTTACCAACGGGTAGAATTTCTTCATTCAAGACTTAGACAATTTTCTAAGTCTTTTCTCACTTGTCCGCTTTTTTAGAATTCCGGTCTTTCTTGAGGCATCCGGTTCTTAGCTAACAAATCCGGAAAAGTCATTCTCAGTCTTCCGGGTGAGAAAGAGATCCGTGCTAGTCTTCCGACTCAGATGACTTAGCCTTCAGCGGGTTGTAGCGAGACATCCGGCTATCATGTAGTCTTCCGGATTGGAGGATTTTCATCTGCTTTGAGAAATCCTTACTTGTCTCTGACATTTCCAATCAAGATATCCAATATCCATATCACAGAATTTGATTAAGTCTTCAGGCATCAAACCGCTTAAAGAAATATCACAACTTTATTGGAAATCTCAAGAACTCGGTTTTAACAATATTTCTAAAAAGAAAAATTACATTGAATATTGGGGGAGACCTAAAGTCCCTATTACATTCTAAATACATCATCATCAAAATCTATAATTTTTCCCAACAATAGGGTTATGCATATACTAAGGGGAAACGCCTCTAAAACGAGACCGTTTGTTTTTAATCCGACTAATTTTTCTTAAGCACAAATTAAGGGGAACTTTTTCACAACTTTCTGAAAATCAAATATCCCTTAGTATGTATATCCCCGTCTTGTTTGCCATTATCAAAAAGGGGGGAATTGTTGGAACACGGGTTTACGCCTACGTCGTACTAAACGGTGTTCGTTCTATGACAGGTTTTGATAATGCCAAACCGCCGTGACACAACAAGGCTAAAGTGAGCAAACCTAAGGCGAAGGAATATGGCATGATGATTTGTGAACCAAGAACCAAGAATCAAGAACGAAGAATTAGATTTGTATTGAGTCAGTCTTAATGTGATCAATACCGGCACAAATTTCAAAACTTGGCTCTCTTGGCTCATTTCATCAAAACTCTTTTTACAAACTCAAAAATGTTTTTCGTAAGTTTTAAACTACCTAAAAACACTTGGAGTTCGCCCTAATAAAAAACCAAGCCATCCGGCGTTTGGCTTTCGGTTTTTCGGTGTTGGTTTTTGGCGTCCGAACCAACCAAGTGGTTTTCAACATTTTATGACTGGCTTATACTTCTAGGCATATTTAAATAGTTCTCCAACAAAAACGCTTCAAAAACCACCTTCCGTTTTTGGTCGTTTAGTGAAAACCATGCGAAACGGTGCAAACTTGGTTAGCCGTGGTTTTCAACTAAATGACGTGGTTTTTAAGATGTTTTACTTGATTTCTTAGCAAAATGCAATAAACAAATGTTTTCAATACTTGCTTTTTATTTTGGAGAACTTACATTTTTGACTTCGGCTAATGGCATGACTAAACCAACCATGGGTCTGGCTAAACCAGCACAACAGCGACGTTGGTGTAACCAATAATGCTGTCGGGCTTGGGTAGTGAAAACCATGGTTTGGCGTTAAGTCTTCCAACAGCGATGTTGGACTTCAGACATCGCTGTTGAGCCAAGGTTGGATTTCCAGAAACTTCTGGAACAGCGATGTAGGCTTCCCTACAGCGCTGTCCAACCTAAGCCAAAAATATAGTGCATTGGTAGAAAGTTTTTGGACAGCGATGTTGACCCAGCAACAGCGCTGTCAGGCCAAACTTCCATCTTCAAGGGCAGGCCTAAACATCGATGTTCTAGTATGGAACATCGATGTAGGGACCTGACCGTTGGAAAGAATTTAAGGATAAAACTTTCCTTGTTTGGAAGTCAACAGCCAAAACAGCGATGTGGGGTTTTTGGACATCGCTGTTGGCATGACCGTTGCTTCCCAATTTTCAAAGTCCAAGCCTAGAACAGCGATGTCCAAGCCTAGGACAGTGTGTCTGGTGAATTTCAGCAGATCCAAATTTAATCAAATCCCACAAATTGTGCAAATCACCCCTTAAATACTTTGGTCCGTTGGAGCCTATTTTTCTACTATAAAAAGGGGTGTTTGGGTCTGTTTTACACATCACATTACTTCACAACTCCCAGTCTTTCATTGCATATCATTCATACATTATTCATAGCTTTTTGAGAGCCATTTTTGTGAAGCTTGTGCTGCGTTCTTGAGCGTATTTAGTTACTCATTATCCACTCTAAAAGAGAGTATTGTTCTTGAGAGTTTTTAGTGTTCTTAGACACTTGACAAGAGAAAGTATTTCTCTTGTTGTACGGGTTTGTTAAGCATCGTTAAGCTTAACGAGATAGTAGTGTAGCTCGAGAGAGTCTCTCGGGAGGCTGGGTTAGCCACAAGTTGTGGTGAACCAAGGTAAAATCGGTGTGCCTCTTACTCTTCTCTTTACTTCTCGTTTATTCATTTTTATTCTTGCGATTTTTGATCAAACGCTATTCACCCCCCCTCTAGCGTTGGTCTATTATTCTAACAGCTTATGTTCTCGTAGTACATTGAGTACTATCCTCAGGTGCTTTGCATGATCTTCTCGATTCTTTGAATACACAAGGATGTCGTCGATGAACACAACTACGATTGATCAAGATAAGGTCGGAATACACTATTCATGAGATCCATGAATACTGCAGGAGCATTGGTCAAACCAAAGGGCATTACCGTAAACTCGTAATGAGCATAACGAGTACGGAACGCAGTCTTCGGGATGTCCTCTTTCTTTACTGGGATTTGATGGTATCCTGACCGTAAATCAATCTTAGAGAATACAGTAGATCCTCTAAGCTGATCAAATAAGTCATCGATACGAGGTAAAGGATATCGATTTTTTATTGTGACTTTGTTCAATTGACGATAATCGATGCAGAGTCTCATTGTACCGTCTTTCTTTTTGACAAACAGAACGGGTGCTCCCCAAGGGGAAACACTCGGACGTATGAATCCTTTATCGAGCAATTCTTGTAGTTGAGCCTTCAACTCTTTCATTTCAGCAGAGGCCATGCGAAAAGGAGTTGCAGATATTGGTCCTGTTCCAAGAACAAGATCGATGGAAAATTCTACTTCTCTTGAGGATGGTATACCAGGGAGTTCGTCAGGAAATATGTCAGGAAAACCACATACTGTCAGTATGTCTTTCAACTCAGGAGTTTCCTTTCGTGTGTCACGTACGTTACATAGATAAGCTTCACATTTCTTCCGAATGAGACGTCTAGCGTGTATGTACGAGATGAATTCAATGGATTTAGGTGTTAGATCCTCTTTCACCTCTATAGACTCTCCCTCTCCAAACTTTAGTTGAATCATTCGTTGTCGACAATCGATAACTGCTTGGTGTTTGGTGAACCAATCCATTCCGAGGATGATGTCAAATTCTTGGTATGGTAATTCGACAAGATTGGCAGAGAATTAATGTCCTTCAAAAATCAATGGACAGTTTTGATACACATTATCTAACCTCATACTATGTCCTAACGGATTAGACACTAGTATAGGTTGTTCTAATTGTTCTTTCATTATGTCAGCTTTTTCAGGCATATGTACACAGATATAAGACAATGTTGATCCGGGGTCTATCAACACATGCATGACAGTATCAAATAAGGAAAACATACCCTGAATGACGTCAGGGTTTTCCTCAGTTCGTGCTTTCATTGCATATGTACGAGCAGGAGCTCGTCCTTGTTGTTGGTTCTGATTCTTGGCCGGCTTGGACCCTGCTGTTGAGCGTTGATTCGGTGCGGGTCGTGCAGATGCAGACTGGCTAGCAACATGAGCAGATGGAAATGGTTCTCCAGGGTTTGTAGGGCACTCCTTTTTGAAATGTCCTGGTTTTCCATAGCCAAGGCACAACCCTTGTTTCAACCATATATATCATATATATATATATATATAAATTTTTTTTTAAAACAAACTTTTGATCCGAAGATCGGTTTTAAAACCATTTGCTTTGATACCAAATTGTAACACCCAAATTCGTCCAGGTCTGCAGCCCCTTTCGGACTAAAGTATTAACTTGGTAATCGTAAAATTTAAAACATTTCAAATACTTTTATTCATCATAAATAATGTTAAATACATAACTATAGCAAAATACGGAATGTTTAACAATAATGCGGAAGCAATTTAAACCATGTTTAATAACAACACAATTACTCCCTCCGTCCCCCATAGATCTTCCCAATAGCCCTTTTTCTTTGTCCACGATAGATCTTCTCATTTCACTTTTTAACAATTAAAATACCACAACTACCCCCACTTACTTTATTTATTACACCTCACCCACCTCATTTAATACACTCCACCCATTTTCATTAAGGGTATTATGGTAAACTTTCACCTTTTTTCAACTCTCCTTAAAAACCACCAAAAGTCAAAATGAGAACATCTTAGGGGGACGGAGGGAGTATTTATTTTAAAATCACAAATTCCACCACGACAATCTCGCCCCTTCCGCTGCCAGGAACATGCCAATCATTCATTATGTCTACCTGCGTGTAGCAAATAAAACATACTACACGCTCAGCGATGAAGCTGAGTAAGCATTTCTAAAGCGTCGAACATCCACATAAATTGAATCTCAATTCACAAACAACCATTTGATATCATGCACACAATATATAATTCATTCATGATATTTTCAATATTTCAATAATCAACATTCATATTCAATATTCAACAATATCCTTAACTAAGCTTAGTCTAAGGCCAATCCTTTGATGATTACCAACTCTAAAACTATTACTAGTTCAAGGTACTTCTAACTAACTCTAAAGCTAGGTCATTAGTTTAAGGTACATATTCCGATTGATTTACCAACTCTTAAACTAGCCTTCGCTTAAGGTACAAATCCAGGAAACCGAACAGTAGAATACTAACTGTCGGGTTGGGTGGTATCCCCAAACGAGTTCCTCTAGTTTGGTTTATGGATCCCGTACATACGTTTTTACCCAAGGCCACCAAATATACATATTTATACCCGCAAGGCCCAATCTAATTTGAGGTCTATCTTAGAGGTCTTCGAGATAGCCTTGACAACACACCAATTTCGTGATCATCATTATATTCAATTTTAATAATGATTTAATCATTAATAGTAATCCTAATCAGTAGGTTTATCATTCATAATCATCCATAATAATTATTTATCATAAAGATCATTAACACATGTTTAATAACAATTAGCGGCCTAGTCTCGAGCGTTAACACCCAGACTTACCGTCATGCATCACATAATGATTTAATTTGTTAAAAACATCATTTTTATTGTGAAAAATCATTTTTATATTGTTCATAATTAATTGGTATCAAAAATAGGATTTTATAGCTCAAAAATCATGTTTTCTAAACAATAATCGATTAATATATGACCAGAAAATCGATTAATTGCTACTGCCTTCAATTTCTTCAATGGAGTAATGTAAAAATTGATTTTTCATTTTTATTAATTTATTTTTATGTAAAATTAATCGATTTTTGGGTTCTGGTTTCGTTTTCCTGACCAGAATGAACATATAATCGATTTTTAATGCAATAATCGATTATTAGTCGTCTTCTTCCTCGACCCAACTTTCGAAAATGCCATTTTTAGTAACCAAACTTCAATTAAAGTATGTAGAAAGGTTCTCCAAGGTTCATAGGTCATTTTGGTATCATTAATTCATAGTTTTAACATCAAATTCAAGGTTTATGATTCTTGGTTCTTCAAGCATGTCAAACACAAAACTCAACCAAATGACCATTTATGAACGTAGAAACGAGCTATATGAACATTCTAGTCATTAGATATATCAACGAGCTTACCTTTGAAGCGTAAGGAAGGTTTTGACGATTTTCCGGTGAAATTTCCGGCGACTCTATTTCACTGCTCCGGCGATAGCAAGTTTTCTTGACAGCAATACTTTACTCTCTATACTCTCAACTATCTCTTGGAAGAACAATGGTGAAAATTGGTGAAGTTTAGAGAGGTTTATATAGTGGAGAGGAGAGGAAGAAGACACAGGTGTAATGACATCCTTTTCCCTGTTCTGGCGTTGGGTGGAAGGAGCGGCGATTGCTAGGATTCCAGACGCAAGTCCCTGATTGGGACTAAATTGGTCCCAGTCGGGGAACACTTTTTGTTCCAACTTTCTCCGAATTGAAATCTGATTAAACCGTTGGGGTCAGATAGTCAAACTCTACACAACGATATAATTTTTATTAATTATTGACAAACTTTAGAATTTACTTATTTTTGGGTCCTTCTCAGTAATTAATTAATTATCAATTAATTAATTCTGATAGGCCTATTTTTGGGGCGTTACATTTCTCTTCCCCTTAAAATAATTTCGTCCTCGAAATTACTTGAGTCATTGGTTGAAGAGATTCGGATATAGCATTCTCATCGATTCTTCGGTTTCCCATGTTGCCTCTTCAGTCGAGTGATTCCTCCATAGCACCTTGACTAAGGGTACAGATTTGTTTCCCAATTGTTTGACCTCTCGTGCTAAAATTTGTACAGGTTCCTCCTCATAAGTCAATTGTTCGTCAAGAGTTACAATTCCCTCAGTCAAGATATGTGATGGATCAGAACGATATCTTTTCAACATTGATACATGGAATACATCATGGATTTTGTTCAGGTCTGGTGGAAGTTCTAACCAATATGCTACTGGACCCACACGTTCAGTGATTCGATAGGGCCCAATATATCTCGGACATAGTTTTCCCTTCCTACCGAACCGTAACACCTTCTTCCACGGTGAGACTTTCAGAAACACTTTGTCATCAACATTGTATTCGATCTCACGACGTTTTAAGTCAGCATATGATTTTTGACGATTGAAAGCAACTTGCAATCTTTCTCTAATTAGACGAACCTTTTCTTCCGTTTCGCGGACGAGATCAGGTCCTTCAAGTCTTTGATCGCTTAATTCTGTCCAGCATAATGGGGTTCTACAATGTCTCCCATACAAGGCTTCGTACGGGGCCATTTGGATACTCGCTTGATAACTGTTGTTATAAGCGAACTCCATTAGCGGTATGTATTGTTCCCAGTTGCTTCCAAAATCAATTACACATGCTCTCATCATATCTTCAAGAATTTGAATTGTCCTTTCAGATTGTCCGTCTGTTTGAGGATGAAATGTCGTACTAAAGTTGAGTTTAGTACCTAGAGCCTTTTGCAAACTCTTCCAGAATTGCGACGTGAATCGTGGGTCACGATCAGAAATGAAAGACAGAGGCACACCATGTAATCTTACGATTTCATGGATGTACAATTCTGGCAATTTCTTTAAAGACATATCACGTCGAATTGGGATAAAATGAGATGACTTAGTTAATCGATCAACGATTACCCAGACAGCATCATTCTTCTTGGTTTATAATGGAAGTCCGATCACGATGTCCATCGTAATTCATTCTCACTTCCATTCAGGGATAGTAGGTGGATGTAATAATCCACTTGGCACTTGGTGTTTAGCCTTGACTTGTTGACATGTCAGACATTGTGTTGTAAATTCAGAAATTTCTCGCTTCATTGTGGGCCACCAATATGTCCTTCTTAGATCTTGGAACATTTTATTACTGCCAGGATGCATGGTATATGTGGTTTCGTGAGATTCACGCATTAATCGTTCCCTCACTTCGCCACTAGGAACTACCAAACGATTCCGGTAGAATAAAATTCCATCATTTACAGTGAAATCTTGTCTCTCTCCCTTAGAGACAAGTTCACAAGTCTTCAAACAGTAGTCATCACGTTTTTGTGCAACGTGAATTTCGTTCTCAAGAGTAGGCTGAATTCGAAGTTCAGCTATCATCTTTCGGCTCAATGCGTCAGCAACTACGTTAGCCTAGCCAGGGTGATAGTCGATGTAACAGTCATAGTCTTTGATCAATTCCAACCATCTCCTTTGTCTCAGGTTTAACTCTTTTTGAGTTAGCAGGTATTTCAGACTTTTGTGGTCTGTTGACAGTCGTAGTTTTTGGGATAGTAAACCTTCCCAGTAAAGGGTTAGTTTTCTCTCCGAGTGTCGTATATCTCGAGGAGTGGACGAAGGGAATTAGTTTAATTACTCAAACTAGGCGAAGGTTAGGATTGGTTTATGAAAGTCTTCTCGAAACGATTATAAAAGGAGCGGAGTAAAAATAATAAATTAAGCTTACATAGTATAAGTATAGATCTGGACCTAGGGTCTGGACATCATTCGGATCTATTTTATCATATTAAATTAACAACTGGAATAATAATATTTCTATTACTACTCATCCATTTCTAGATTCGTACTTAATCCGTTGTACTTGAATATTATAGCCTTTTGGCATAGAATATTTTCTCAATAAATAGCTAATTAAATCTTTCGAGAATAATTAAATAGGCAAACTTCCTCGTTTCGATTCAGACATGCTGAATCTAGCGAGGACCTTGTCTATGTATGTACTTTGACTGAGACCTAACAGCTTCCGTGATCTATCCCTATAGATCCTTATGCCAAGTGCATAACTGGCATCTCCCAAGTCCTTCATAGAGAAACTCTTACTCAACCACGTTTTGACGGTGGTTAAAGTAGGAATATCGTTTCCTATGAGCAGTATGTCATCAACATACAGAGCAAGGAAGACTACAGCACTCCCACTGACCTTNTAGATTCGTACTTAATCCGTTGTACTTGAATATTATAGCCTTTTGGCATAGAATATTTTCTCAATAAATAGCTAATTAAATCTTTCGAGAATAATTAAATAGGCAAACTTCCTCGTTTCGATTCAGACATGCTGAATCTAGCGAGGACCTTGTCTATGTATGTACTTTGACTGAGACCTAACAGCTTCCGTGATCTATCCCTATAGATCCTTATGCCAAGTGCATAACTGGCATCTCCCAAGTCCTTCATAGAGAAACTCTTACTCAACCACGTTTTGACGGTGGTTAAAGTAGGAATATCGTTTCCTATGAGCAGTATGTCATCAACATACAGAGCAAGGAAGACTACAGCACTCCCACTGACCTTTTTGTATACACAAGATTCATCCAAATTTCTTTCAAAACCAAAACCGATGACGGTTTCGTGAAAACGGATGTTCCAACTCCGTGAGGCTTGCTTCAATCTGTAGATTGATCGCTGCAACTTGCATACCTTGGTAGATTCTTCAAGAACGCAAAACCCTTCAGGTTGTGTCATAAAGACATCCTCAAGGAGGTTTCCATTAAGGAAAGCCGTTTTGACGTCCATCTGCCATATTTCGTAATCGTGGTATGTTGCGATAGCAAGTAAGATTCGAATGGATTTAATCATGACAACTAGAGAAAAAGTTTCGTCATAGTCAATACCATGTATTTGACGATATCCTTTTGCTACCAATCGTGCCTTGAAGGTTTGTACCTTACCATCTATGTCAGTCTTCCTTTTGAAGACCCATTTGCACCCAATGGGTTTGATCCCTTCGGGTGCATCAACCAAAGTCCATACTTGGTTGGTGTACATGGAATCCATTTCGGACTGCATGGCTTGACGCCATTCCTCAGCCTCAGGACAACTGATTGCCTCGAGGTAGGTCTCCGGCTCATCCTGGTCGATAAGCATTACGTCACCCTCAAAGGTTAGGAGGAATCCATACCTTTCAGGTTGTGTGCGTAATCGGTTAGACCTACGGGGTTCTTGTGTATCTTGAGCATTTTGAGGTACAACGGTTTGTTCCTCTAGCTCATGTTCCAGAACCGTCGCGGTAGTTTCTTCGTCGTCTCGAATTTCTTCGAGCTCTATCTTTCTCCCACTAGTTGTGTTGGAGAGAAATTCCTTCTCGAGGAAGACACCATTGCAAGCAACGAATACCTTCTTATCGATAGGGTGATAGAATGAATACCCTCGAATTTCCTTTGGGTATCCCACGAAGAAACACTTATCAGACTTGGCGTCAAGCTTGCCATTCGTCATAAGACGTTTGACATAAGCCTCACAGCCCCAAATCTTTAAGTGTGACAGAACCGGGCATTTGCCAGTCCATAGCTGGTATGGTGTTCCTTCAACCGCCTTGGTTGGAACTCGGTTAAGAGTATATATTGCAGTGCTCAGCGCATACCCCCAGAATGATTCTGGTAGAGTCGAATGACCCATCATAGAACGAACCATGTCAAGCAGGGTTCGATTCCTCCTTTCAGAGACACCATTCCATTGTGGAGTCCTAGGAGGTGTGAGTTGGGATAAAATCCCATGCTCTCTAAGATAGTCATCGAACTCACCACTTAAGTATTCTCCACCTCGATCGGATCGTAGTGTTTTAATACTTTTGCCAAGTTGTTTTTCAACTTCATTCCTGAATTCTTTGAACATTTCAAAGGATTCTGACTTGTGTTTCATGAGATACACATAGCCATATCTACTGAGGTCATCAGTAAAAGTGATGAAGTATGAATAACCACCTCGTGCAGTTGTATTGAAAGGCCCGCACACATCACTATGAATGAGTGCCAGAAGATCACCAGCTCTTTCACCGTGTCCGGTGAAAGGAGATTTGGTCATCTTACCCAATAAACAAGATTCGCATGTGTCATATGATTCAAGATCAAATGACTCCAGCATTCCCGACCGATGTAGCTTGGATATGCGTTTCTCGTTTATATGGCCTAACCTACAATGCCATAGGTATGTTTGGTTCAAACCGTTCGGTTTGTTCCTCTTGGCTGATATGTTATAGACAGGCATGTCCAAGTCAAGGACATATAACCCATTGGTCATGTTGGCATTAGCATAGAAAACATTCTTTCTGTAAACGGAAAGGGACTTGTCTTTAATAGAAATGATGAAACCACTCTTATCAAGACATGAAACAGAAATAATGTTTCTGCTAAT